TTATTAATATTGTTATGTACTGCTATATTCAATTATACTATATCTGATGATATAGACAATTCTATTGAAGACAACAAGAGACAACATAATAACCATTGTAGAACTCCTTGTATAGTAGTTTTATATGTCTTTTTCATTTCATGTGTTTACAGAACTATGTTTTGTTTTGTCTTGCTTTGTTCTGTTTCTCCCTCTAATATAGAAAAGATAGAAATACATGTTAAGACTCATGCATGCATAGAACCTATAAACAGTTTACGAGAACTGATCTTATAACGCATGACGAAATGAACAAATACTTTAAAGAAAAGAGACACTATAGTACCCCGTGCTGATCCTTTTGTGTCATGATATGAAATCCAGAAATACTATTATTCTTTGTTCAGAGTGATTTTAGCCTGCTTTGGTTTGTTTAATCTCAACATAAATGAAAATACGGATAACTGCATGTATGTTTAAATGTATGGAATTGATAACCATATTACTAAGTTTTTGTTGGATAGTTAAACAGAACTGTTTGCAGTCTCGCTATTTGAATCCCCACTTTGTATGTTTTGAATCCCCACTTTTGTATCTTGAACAATTATTTGTAAGAGGACAATATGTAATCATCAACTAGTGATTTCTTACTGTTTATTTTTTCTTTGAAAGTATGTATTATTTCTAACCTTTTTATGTTTTGTTTAGTCTTTCATTAAATAAAATTTTAGAAAGTAATAAAAATAAAAACTCCTTTAAGATTTTCACCATCTACTCAGCATGGTGCTATTATTTTGTTATAATCGAGACACTTGAACTTTTGTTTCTCTTACCCCATACAGAAGAATCAATAGTCTAAAATTAGAAGAGAAAGGAGAAACACTTGACTGTAGTCTGGATTTGTTACTAATACTTTAAAGGTTGTTGTTGCCAGTGTGTTAAACTTTATATATACTCACTGAAGTGCTTTTTCTAAAAGAATAATTAAAATATGATAGGTGACAGATTTTATTAAAATGAGTTCTGAAAAATATGAATTCTAGCCCAATGATATGTTATTTCAGAGAGAGTCAAGGATATCTGCCAAGTTCATACTATTTTATCCTCTCTGGAAAGTAGTGTCTCCCCTGATTATCCTTGGATGTGGGCATTAAAATTTTCTTTTTGTAGTTGTGTGAAACTCTCTCCTTGCCATTTATCTTAGAGCACTGATTTGTAGACTTCCACCCAGTAGTTAGAGGAGACAAAGGAGATGCCTGCTAACCTGGCTGAATAAGATTCTCTTACCTAGGTCTGTGCATTAAGATGAGACAGTCAGTCACACAGTGTCTGTTGGTGGCCAGAGCTGGACATGCAAATGGCTGCTCTATGGGGGAATATTTTAGTATGAATTTAGTTGCACTGACCAGAGAAGCCCAACTATTCAGTCCAGATAAAACTGGAATAAACATATGATCCAAGGAAAAGAGATGAGATAGGGGTAAGATTCATGATAGTTTTCTACTTCCTTAGCCCAGACCTTTCTTAAGGTCTGATGGCATTACTATTACTAGATTTCATGAGCCTATAACTGTATAACACAACCTCAACATCAGTTATTTCCATTTCACTAAGACGCTCAAAGTGCTTCTTCTGCTATTTGTAGTCAATAATGCTTAATTAATTCACAAAATACAGGTAAAGATCTAGGATTTTAGTAGCACATAGTTTAATAATACTGCATAGTACATGATAAAACATTGTTGTCTTTCATTGAATGTGTACAGTATTTTAGGTAGTTATTCATGCTAAACTTACATGTTTAGGCATATTTATTTATAATCTTTTATATGCTCTTGAGATGCTAAAATGATTATTCCCATTATATAGAAGAAAAGTCTCATCTTCAAAGCATTTAGAAAGTAATACTCTAGTGACAATGGTTGAATTTCAGCCTTGGGATGCAATTCTCTGTTTCAAAAGTCCACCTCCTGCCCATCTAGCAATATTACAGGCTTTCCTATGGCCAGACTCCTCTGTTTAATACCATTCCAACTGAGCTTTCAACTTCTTCATTGGGTCCCTATTTATAACAATACATGAGCCTTCAGTTTAACCCTGCTGCCATGGAAACTTCCCCAAAAGCCATCCTTGGCTTACTCTCTTTCACACATCCCACAGCTACCGTGTCTTAGTTATTTTTTCCACATCTGACATAAAATAGTGGACACTCAAATGTAAAATAGAAAGTTTATTTAGCTCACTGTTTGTAGAGGTTTTACTCCATCATAGGTTGTTCAAGGCATAGTGACAAGGTAGAGGGGTGTCGCAGAGGAGAAATAGTCCAAAGCATACAGGCAGGCAAGAGTGCATTAGCACCTTTTTTATTGCTTATATTTTATGAAGGTTACCCACCCTGAGGCAGGGTAGCACTCACATCCTTTACTCAAGCCAGCACCATGCCAAAGCCATCAGTGAACTTATTTAGTCATCACGCACCCTAGATCTAGCCCTCGGAGAAGTCACATCTATGACTGCAGGAGGCCTTGGGGAAACAGCTAGACACAGCCATAACAGCCCAACACCAAATCCTGACAGACTGCTCCTGAAGGGAGAATCTGGTCACTGGTCAGCCCTTCTATGCTGTTGTTTGGCCAGTGGAGAACACTGAAACTAGTTACACTGTCTCTTTTCTGCCGTGCATCCACCTCTATCCTCATAGTCTACACTCCATGATGCAGTCAAAAACCTTTTAAAGTATGAACCATGTCACTTTTCAGTGTACAGTATTCAGTTCAGTATTCAGGGGACAGTATTCAGTGTTCAGTGTACAGTGACCATGTCACTTTTCAGTTCACTGATAGTGATGTGCTACGCTGTACTACACACTAAGTTGGTCCACTCATCCTTGGAACTTACTGACCACCTCTCTGCACTCTCTCTACTTCAGCTCTGATGTCCTGCTTTCTGACCCCTGGAATATTTTGAGCAGGTTTGATTTCAGTCTTTACTAACCACTGTTTCCTCTACTAGTGATGCTGTTTACAGAGGCAGCTCTTCAGCTTGGACTCTGCTTCATTTAGGCATTTACAGTCCTGGAGAGCTATCCACTTCAGAGTCTCCCCCTGCAGTTCCTCTCACCACCAGACTGATTTCTTTATCTATATATGTTAATTGTCTGTCCCTCCACCCCCCTCCAAAATGCAAGCCTATGAAAGCCCACATTTGATCTTTTAGCTACACAAGTCTGTCTCCAGGGCCTCAGAACAGAGCCTAGAATAAGATGGAGGCTCCACCTGACTGAGCAAACAATTAAGAAAGACTAGATACCTGAAAGTGCAAATTAAAAAAAATCAGATTACATAGCTGTAACATTTTCTGTTTCTAAAGCAAAACCCCTTTGCTAGATTTCTGCTTTAAAACTATAGCTCTTTCTTCTCATGTCTGTGTAACATTCTTATGCTTTGTGATTTACTCTTATTTATGTTGTATTACAGCAGTTTCTTCACTATGAATTGAATTATACATTATCAAATTTCCATAAATATAAAGCATTTGATCAATAACAATATAAATGCAATATAAAGCATTTGATCAATAACAATATTGACTTCTGTTACCCCAAAAGCTCTTCTCTCATTTTTAATTGTTATAAGAATGTTTGCTTTAAGCTTTTTATTGAAGGATGAATAACAGGTAATTCTCATAAAATCTATGGAGTAAAAAGATTCCTCAGAAATTATAAATGAGTCCACCTTCCTTTTGTGGATTTTTAATTCATTCATTTAACATGTATTTATTTTGCAAATATTACATCTCAGGTGAAAGGCAGCAGAATCATAGCATGTTCCATTTATTTACAGGATTAAATACATTTTCTGCCTCTAATTTTGCAATTGTAATAATTGCTGAAGTTTTAATATTGATGCCAGATGTATAAAAGCTACTAAGTGATTACATTTTAATTGTTCCAGTAGCATTAGAGTTCTGTAGTTAATTTTTCTTCGCACTTACAGATTTCAGCAAATGTTTCATGTTCAAGCAGTAAAGAGATCTCTAAAAGCTAACATATAATAAGCATTAATATACTCTTACTGGTACCTATCAACTGTGTTCACTTTTTATTAGGATTAAGTTTTGATTGGTTATTAGCCAGCTCATAAAACATTTATGTTTTCAGTGTCCAGAATGACAGTACTTGTCCTTGAAGAGTTTGTATTTATTGAGTAATAATTCACAGAACACATTTTGAAACAATACTTAGATCAAAAAATGGGAAACTGCAGTGGATAAAGGCAGAATAAGTCTCTTATAGGATAATGACCTGGCTTACGTCAAGTTATTTAATATTTATAGTGATTCCATGATCACAGAAAGCCAACCAGAAACTCCGTTTTTCATGTTTTGAAGTCTGGTAGAAAAAATGGACATGAGGACTAAAATACATTGCCTATCCCTTGTGGAATTCTGACCATGTAAAGGAAGACTCGAAGTGTATTTGGATATATAGTATGAACTGAAGATTCCCTGAACAGGAAAGGGGGATACTTAGAAATACTATATTTCTTCTGCTTATTCTAGACTTTTTCATTATGTATGCTTATCCCGTATCTTTCAAATAATAAAAGAAATAATAATGTTATGTAAATGATAGACATCTAATTTTACATCACTACAGAAGTTTATATTTGTGCTAATTTTTGTCATGTCTCAGGGAAATTCTCTGAGTACATGAAAAATCACATTATGTTTATAATTATTTCTAATATAAACCTTTCTAAATATAAGAAACCCTCAGGACAGGTTGACATGAAAAAGCAAGCTATCTAAGAGGCATAAATAATGACAATGGCACCTGCAGTGAAAGCTTTCTGCACAATGCTCTTGTGTAAATGCACTGCTTAAATTCTACTGCAAATGACATCTGTTTTCCGCAATGAGCATAACTTCCTCTATTCATGGTGTATGAATATTTTTGAGGCTTAGTTTCATAACTAGTCAATTTACCTTGTGCTCACAATCAATTTCTCTAAGGTACTTACATATTCTTCATAAGCCTCATGGGCAGGAGGAGGGGGTGCTCTGTATCCTGGCACTGTTGGTGCCCCCCGAGCTCGAGGGGTCGGGACACCTCTTGCTATAGGGGGCACTGGCAGGGCTCCACGCGTCACAGTGGTTCCTCGAGGGGTGAGGACACCTCGTCCAGGAGGTGGGGGAAGAGGAATGGCACCCCCGCGACCCCTAGGAGAAACAGGTCGCATACAGATGAGAAAAAGCAACAAGCAAAGAGAACGATAACAGATAAAAATTCCCATCTCACAGCCTCTATACAGAGGAACAAAGCTGAATTTATGTTTCTCACTGTGTGTATGTGCCTGTGTATTTTTAGTAGAGATTAAAGTGTAAAATATTGGCTTTCCATACTAAAATATATTCTTTAAAAACTATGATTTATTCTCATAAAAAGTATTAATATTCTCCATTACATAGTTACAAAGCCAAAGAATAAGAAAAACCAGGAAACAAACACCCACATTGATTGTATTCTAGTTTGTAAGAACAACCAAATCAGCACAGTCTGAGAATAGAACTCACTGAACCCTCTAGGAACTGAGTACATGTGTGACTGTCCTTCTATTCAGCAGATTCCTCAGAGTGATACGCTATGTTGTCATTTACAGAACAACTCTCTGCTTGCACTGTGATAAACTGTGTAGCGCTCAGCATGGTATTATTCTGCTCAATATCATAGCTATGTTCAAGGTTACTTGCAATTCCAATTCTACCCTCACTGACATCATCATGCATGCCATCCCCTGAGCTGGTGAAATCACACACACACACACAATGTATTTTCATATAGTTGCTATGGTGCTACTGAAATATATTACTATTTCACAATAAAATGAATGGATTGAATACTCTGTATTGCAGTTCCTGGAACAAAGGTAACCTGCATTAAGAGGACGAGATCAAATGGTTGCTGACTTTTATGGTTTTTCTGAGGCCTTTAGAAAGGCTGAGTGTTTGTCTGAAATCTTTGGGCAAATGCATGGTTATTTCACTTTTTATTATATCTGAAAGGTTGGCCTCCAGAAAGTAGTGCTTTCAGCAGGAACACTAAAGCTTTTGGAAAAATGATGATCATTGGGATGTCAACAACAACGCTGGCTGCACCCCCAGATGGGATGTAGGTTATGTTTTCTGCTATGAATAGCAGCCAGCTGGCTCTTTCTTGCTTGCAGAAAATGAACTTTGAGAAGTGAAGAGTAAGAATTTTGGTAAAGCTTTTAAAATTTTTAAATAGATTATAGAGCTGTACAATAGAAAACTTAGCAGAGGACAGGATGAGCTAATTTATGTGGAACAGTCCTGGACCTGAGGATACAAAAGAACCAGAAACCCAGCTCTGGTTTCCTGTACAGCATCTAGGAGTACAATGTTCTACATTAGCATAATAACTCAAAACAGATCTATAAAAAGGCTATAAATAACCAATTTCACCTTCACTGTGTCTCCCTGCACCTATCTTTAGCCTCAAAAGTAAAATGAGCATGCAGCTAGGTTTTGCAATTCTGTCTCAGCTGCCTGCTCAGTTTGGTATTTTAATACTCTCAGAAATGTTCAAGTTTGGTAACCTATAAGTCAATTAACCTATGTGGTTATACAACTGAATAAGTTAGTAGATATTTTAATTAGATGAGAAGTATATTTTTTCTATGGAAATGCAAATTCTGAACATGTAACAGTTTTTTCTGAGTAAGCGTACCTGATGCTAATATCAAATCTATTTTTTCCTTTCATTTCTTCATCAGCCGATGCCCAGCTCAGCCCCAGGAAGCCTTCCTTCTGGGGCTGGTTCATCACTGCCTGTGCACTCCATCCTTCCTCTTGAGCATTTAATCCTGTTGCTGCTTGCAGTCCGAGAGTCACACCACCTATTTCAGAATACTGTCTAGGGCTAAATCTATAGATTTAGTCTTCTTTCCTTTATTTTTCTGACTTCTTCAAAGAACATTTTCTGTACTTAAATCTTCTCCTTCTATTCAGCCCTGAACCTGCTGTAGTCAGTCAGGTTCTTGCTTTCACACCAGGTGCAGACTGAGATCACCGGGTCTCCACCTACCTCCTTCCACCTACACTGGGCTCATAGCTCTGGGACTCTGTGGCTTCTCCATGAAAGGTAGAGCATGATTTGCAAGCTGTGTGTTTGGGTTTCCATGCTTTCCCTCAGGTCTCCTCCTTCCTCTTTCTCATCCCTCGGCTATTTCACTACTTCTGTTAATCGAATCCTTCTGAAGTATGGGTGTTTCCAACTTTTGTCATTAATTTTCTTTCTTCCTCTCAAGGATAAATCCTGCAGCCTCTAATTCTAAAGATGGCTGTTTACTCCCTAACTGCATGCTGTGCCCTGCCTTAGGCTCATGATCAGAAAGTTCTATAATTATCTCTATAGTAGAGTTACTTAAGGATCTTTAAAAAATTCCAAATTCCAGGCCATTCCACTGGCCTGTTGAATGAGTCTCTGGAAGCAGGAAGCCTCCACTGACTCTAGAGCACCAGCTGACCTGAAAACCACCTTCCTATACATTAGTATAACCTTTTCGATAATCCCGCAGTCAAGCAGCAGTTCTCAGCTACTCTAAATGATGATAAAACACAGCACAAAGAGAACATGCCACCTGCCCCAGGTTGCACAAGCAATCCACAAAGCTTGGATTAATTACAGGGATAATTATATTCTTCATTTAACTTTATCCTTCAAATAATCTTACCAGTCGCTTACCAGATAATAATACCAATCGCTTACCAGACTAGACACAAGAGAGTTATTTTTGTCTCAAGCCACTCTTATTTTCCAACATCCAACTGACATAATGTTTTAACCTCGAATCAGCTCTGCCTCTATACTCAAAGGCTGGTCATGCCTGTGAGTCTCAGATAACGGACTTGCTTTCCACTGGCTTTTGTGCATTGAGCCAGTTTCTCTCTGGCCCCCTTTCTCTCTCCCAATCACTCTAAGCCTCATGACCCTCTGCTTTAGAGACAAATATGATTTCTCTCCAGTTAAAATTCATGGATTCTATGTGTTAGTTCTCACAGTAGTAAACAAAGACTTTCAAAAGCTGCCTCTTACATTTCACTTTCCATGTCTCTCTCTCTGAGTATTGTAGTGATGATGTGTATAAAGATATGTTGTATTTTCTTTCTTCAGTTATATAAAATGAGTTATCATTATAATTTATAGATTTAATGCTTTGTTCTTTGGTTTGCATCATTACTGAAGGATTACTTATCATACAGATATGTTTATTAAATTCCTTTAATTAAATATACTTTCAAAGATTTACTAAAGTTATAAAATAGTTTAGATAATTTTTCAATGATCTAAACAAATTAAAAATTTAATTTTAATAAAGCTTTACCCCAATTGAAATCTTACATAGGTTACTAAATTATAATTGTAATGTTATAATAAGGAATACTATTATGAAACAAAACTATTGTGAATATCAAGACAAATAAATAGAATAATTTTCAAATGATTCTAATTTCAAGGAATAGAGAAGAAATGAGGGCTTGCTTTAGCAACTGCACATGCACTTCAGTTACATAATGTACAGCTCCTAAAAATGACATTTCTGAGCTACAGAAGAGGTCATTTTACATGGTTTAGGTTACGTGATTAAATTCATTTAGGATGACTTGCAATGATGTCACTTCATAATCCATCTATCTACAAGAGATCTAGAGACGTATACAGTTTTATAAACTGGTGTAGTCTTGCAAAAAGTAACATGTGGCATTAATTCTTGCCAATAAAGAAGTGATCCCAAGTTGCATCAGAGAATTCTAATTTTAATTTTCAGAAATAAAAATATAAAAATTAAGCCCTCAAACAGTTTTAGAAATTTTTCCTTTAGTTAAATCTAATTTTTAGAATTGCCACACTTTACATACAAGGTTAGTTTTATCTTTTATATCTTACTTGGAAAATAATTATTCAGAACTTATGTCTGATAATTGTGAAACTTTTTGAAATGTTTATAATTTAACTGTTAAAATTTTGGCAGTGGTGGTTGAAAATATTTGGGCTGTAATTTGAGATATAAATTAAATCTGCAAAATATCTTAGCATTTCTCAAGATAATTTCCAGGCCATATATGAAATAATATTCTGTATCTCCTTTGGAGTTGTAAAGGCCAATAACAGAATCAAGAAAACAAATGAGTCAAAAGTCTGTCTGAAGGCTATGAGCATTATTTATTTTTGTTCTAACTTTTTGCAAACCTGTGCTTTCTTTTCAAAGCTTGACAAATTCACAATCTACAAAACAAATGCTAACAGAGAAAGGTTTCAGTGTAGTTGCAAAGTGAATAAAATCAAATATGACTCTTTCTGACCACAAAGGATCAAATGCATCTGCACTCTGTATTCCTTGGCCAACAGCAATACAAGAAGTGATCTGGTTTTCTTGGTTGGTGACATACAAATTACTTGTATCTATCTATCTCCATGTTTACCTTCAAAGATTAATTCTATACAAAGGCTTTTGAAGGCAAAAATAAAATATAAGTTTTCTTTTTGTGCAAGTGGTTATTGTGTTAAAGGAGGCAAATGTTGTGTATCTATTTTTTCTAATCTGGGGATAAAACAGGATAGTAGAGTTTTAGGTTCATGTCCTTACTTTTTAAGGACAGTTGCTAAGAGCTCAAATTGTGAAGTCTGGAGTCAGACTGCTTGTGTGGTCTTAAGTAACAGTCTGTGCCGCTTCAGCACCTCAGTTTCTCTAAGTAAATGGTAGCTACTCCTAGTGTGTGATGAGTTTGCATCTTTATGAACTTACTAGGTGCTGCATGAGTCATTATACTCTTCAGCTGTGGGGGTGGGATTGTGGTTGACGCTTTGATTCCTGGTTGTGGTCTTGACACAGAGCAGGATAGAAGATGGCTGCCACTGCCCTTTGCTGCTGATTCATTTAAAATAGGAACCAACATACCTTGAAGGGGCCGTGGGAGCTACTCTGATCCCTCTGCCTCTGATCCCTCTGCCTCGACCAGAGTCCTCTGAGCCATTTAAGTAAGATAATTCACGTAGTTGCTCCTGACGAATTTCATCATTGTAGTCCTAGAAGAAAAAGTGAAGGAGTTAAAAAGGGACATGAATTTCTTAGAGCTAAAAACAAAACAAACCACAAAGCACACAATATGAAAATAAACCTTTGTGCTTTTTTGAATTCTTGCATGCAAAATATAAACTTATACAAAGAAGATATATAAAGAACATATACCAAGAAGATATATACATATATGTCATACATATATGTCAGTTTTTATATAGAGAGAAATTAAAATTGCTTCTTCCAGAAAGTACTCTGTAGAATATCAGAATAGATTTCCCAAGGTGTTGCTTAAAGTGTTAGCTAAAAAGGGAAGGCAGTATAGAATAAGGAGTTGGAATGCACCATGGTCATGAGGATTAATAACAAATAACAACATTTGGATGAATATGTGCAGATTATGAATGAATGCATGATTTTCAAATAGCTCCTAATGCATAAACCAAAAGAGGAAAATCCCAAGGTCCAACATAGATGCTGAGTACATATTGAAATCATAAAAAATATGTAACATGGCCCAACTTAAGATACCTGGAAATTGTAGAATCCCACCAAGCAATCCATTGTGCAACATGTAAAAACAAGGATTTTGTATGCATTTTATAACTGGGATTATTGAACTGGACAGCATTAGGAGAACATAAATTTCTCAGTAACAACCAGTGATTCAGTCCAAATCAAAGGGCTATCTTTATATTTCATCGATGTGGAACTATGTGAGTCATTTTAAGTATACTGAAGAGTGAATATGACTCATTATAGATGAAGGCTTTATTTTTAAAGAAAAAGTGCCAGTCATATCTGTTTGTCTTTTGAAAACACACACAGACACACATGCACACATTGCCCTAGTATAATTGGACAAAACTGAGTTACTGTTTGCACTATTTGTTTTAATTGGCCAATTTGATCTATTATTCCTCTCCAAATATACCTTTAATTGAAACCAGGCTAGTGGATTTTCTCATAGTGGCTGGAAGTCGACGAATTCAGAGTAGATATACTTGCAGAAGGTGGGCCTACTGAGTGATATTTGAGGCCACATTGTAGGATGAAAAGTCAACTGTGATATCTACAACAAGCAATGCCCATTTGTTTCCACAGACAGAGCACACACGTGTTTCAGTAGTAAAATGAAGGCTACACACAAACACACACCTCTCCTTGGAAACTAGCATAAATGTGTTTTCCCACAGAAACTTCTTACACATGCCCTTTACCTTGTGCTTCAGAAATGGCCTTGATTATAAGCACAATGGAGAATCACTGCAAAGCATTTATTTTATTTTTAACATGTTGCTTTCATGTTATAATCAGGTGCTCTTCAGGAGCTCTTCAGCACCTGATTATAGTGATAATATATAACACAGATGATAAAAGAGTCATATACTAGAAAATTATAGTTTCTATCATAATGTATTATTCAATTTCTGCCTCCTAATTTTCACATTTAAGCCTCAACTATACTAAATAATTGACATGTCTATTATTTTATTAAGATCAGGAATGTAATAAATTGCTACTAGTGGGTGAAGTGACCAGCTGCCATGAACAGAAACATCAACCCCATAAATCTCATGTAATACTGGTGATTTTAAAGGAAGTATTTGTAGGTTCTTCTCTGAGGAACACACATATTCACTTAGAGTCCCTAGGAATTACAGAAAAAGACTGACTTTATTGGCAATGCTGAAGCTGAGAAAAAGTTTAACAAACTGCATATACATTCATTATATACAAAATGCACCTTAAAGTATACATGCTTTATACCTAAATCAGAAAGTATTAGCCTAGAGATGTGGTCCTCTTCATTATATAATCATAAAACAGATGAAAGAAGAAAAACAAAAGGCAGAAGAGGAAGAAGAGGAGGAAGAGAAGAAAGAGAGCAATATACTAAGCAAATGGTGATACAATGGTTCCCTGTTTGTTTATAACTTCTTGTATCCACACAGACCAACTCACAAATTCTGGCACTAGTCATAAGATTTGCCTTAGCTTAAAAAAATAATTAAAAAGACTTCCAGGAGAACATGGCAGATAGATAACAGGAGCTATGGAGGCTCTCTGAGGTAGCCAGCTTAGAATCCAGGATTGGTACAGTGTGAGGAGTCCTATACCCTGCTGACCCAGGAACAAACTAAGCTAAGAGAAACCAACTGGAAATGCAATCCCGGTGCTATAACCAGAACAGATAAAATCTCAGCCATGAAGCTGGAACCCGTGCATCTGGAAGCCACAATTTGAATTTCTTGCCACCGCTGCTGCATCTGAATCGGTACAGCAGGAACAGAGAGATAGATCCTCTGAGAGTGGGAATTGGTGAACAGAGTTGAGAGTGGGACTCGTGGGGAGCCCTGCATCCATCTGTGGTGAGTGAGAGGAATGGGGACCGTCCATAAACTAGGAGGCTTCAACAGAGGACATTCTGGGACTGGGCAGACTAGCAAGAGGTTGCAGTGACTTTAGTCACATATTCCCCTCTCAAGCGGGGTTGGTGAGGAGTGCTTGGCCTGGGTGATGCCGCAGACTAAGATGCAGTAGGCTAGCCCAAACCACTAGGCTAGTCCCAGCACCTGGCGGTGCCACCTAGCAGCGAAGCCTTGAGTAGGTTGACCTGGAGGCGTGGGACCAGCAGAGGTTGCCCAGGTCTGTGTCTCCCTAGTACACTGAAGTGGGTGGGAACACCTAGTGGGTGCAATTCAATCAAATTGTAACCGACAAAGAAAGAAACTAGGCCTCCTATATATGCTTGTATGGAAGGAACAAAAAGTATGGAAAGAGAGAGCAACAAGAAAGGGTCCTCAGCCCCCAATCCTGAGAACACTGATCTAGGAAAGGTAAATGCAAAGAATAATGAGGACAGAAAACATGCAATATCAGACACAACACCAATAGACAGAAAGCGATATCTCTGGAGCCCCATAGACGAGTTCAAAGGTGAAGTTTTTAATGACCTAAAGCAAGATATAAGTAGAATAGTTAGAGAAATGCTAAGCACCACCCAAGAAAAAACAGATGGTGTAATGGAAGAACAGAAAAAAAGGGAAGAATTGTTTGATGGAGAAAATAGAGAAAACATAGAATACATGAAGCAGGTTCAAAGAGATTACCAGGAAACTAAAAACTCTATTGAAAGCTGGCATAACAGCTTGAAAGAAGCTAAGGATAGATTATCTGAACTGGAGGACAGATTTGTAATGTGGGAGCATGAAATGCTCTTAAAAATAACAAGAAAACAAACAGCAATAATACAAAGGCTTGAAGATGATAAGAGAATCTATAATTTAAGAATTAAGAAGGTAAAGGAAGAAATAGGGACACAAACAAATGAACTACAAAGGCTATTCACAGAAATAATCCAGGAAAATTTCTCTAATTTAGCAAAAGGTAAAGATACTCAGATGTATGAGGCATACAGGACCCCAGCCACCTACAACCCAAACAGAACAACACCCAGGCATATAGTAATCAAAATTCCAGAAATTCAATATAAGAACAGAATATTAAAAGCAATCAGAGACAAGAAACAGATCACTTACAAGGGAACACCCATCAGAATTACAGCAGACTTCTCACATAAGCCATCAAATCACGAAGAGCATGGGGGGAAATAATTCAAACTTTGAAAGATAATAACCTCCAGCCAAGATTGATATATCTTGCACAACTGTCCCTGGAAATTGATGGAAAAACAAGGTGCTTCCAGGATAAAGAAGAACTAGGGGAATTTGCAAACAATCACTTCAACTCTACAGAGAATACTGCAAGACATTCTAAAAAAAAAAAAGAAAAATACCAAGATTCCATGGCAAAGGGCCACAATGAATGGAGCAGAAAGCAAAATGAAGAAGACAAACTGACAACTAATAACAGAAAAAGAGCTCAACAGAAATGAGGCAGAGAAGGTTGGATGGTAGGAACAGCTATTTTGGAGAAAGCAAGACATCATATTAGCTAGTGCAGATTTAATATCATCTTGTTTTGAAGTACCATCAAGCTTTTGTTCTTCTGTCTCCATCGGTTTTAACATGTTTTATCTTATTGGATTTTATTATATGTGATAATATAAACAAAAACTTTTATAGACAAGGAGATTATACAGAAACCATTGTTCATTTTCTGTTAGTTGGTTCTAAATACCTTGTAATACTGTCATTCTCTTCAGTGGTTTTACATTGTCTTGATATGTTTGATGCTACAGTATACAAAGTTATACTCAAAGATTTCAAGGAAAGAGACACTATGGTAACTACTTTTATGTCGACGTATCTGGTGGTGAAACACTATTTTGCTTAAATGGCTATGTTTTGACCTGTGCTGTTTTGTTGTTATGTCCTCTTTTATCTCAATCTCCTTTTTTATTATTTACTTTTTTATTTTTATCGTTTTAATTAAGGGAAAAATTAAAAAATAGCAGGATACATTATAGTAAGCCAATTTGATTTCCTATTAACTTGATTTGAAACCCTGTATTGCTCTCACCACTTTGTTTTGACTGATTTTCCTCTATTTTGTTTTGCTTGATACTACCAAGTTTGAGAGTATAGGCAACAACTGTGAAGACAATAAGATTCATTATGACACCCATTCTGGTTTGACATTATCTTCTTTTGAAGTCCTGTAATGTCTCCAGTGTTTTGGTTTTATTGGTTTTGTTCTTTACTGTTTTGTTCAGTTTTATTATAACTGATGATATAGGCAATTCTTTTTAAGATAGCAAGAGGCATTATGGTAACCGATGTTGATCATCTCGTATTTTGTTTTTACAGTATGTATTATGTCCATCCTTTTGATTTGACTGACTCTGTTTTGTTATGTCACATTTGGTTTTATTCTCTTCAAAAAAAAGTGCTAAGAACTGTGGGAGTAATAAAACCAAAAATGTGCAATTGTCATTGTACAAAAGAGACGAGGAGAAAGTGCTCTAAAGGATATAACTACATGTATATTTAAGTGTATAAGATAGATAACCATATTACTGAGTTTTGTTGGATCATTGAACAGA